GTGAAAAGCAACAGGTTGGCAGAAGAAGCATCAAAGCTGGGACTTCAGGTGAACATAGAGAAAACAGAGGTGGTAAAGATTCATGAACAACACCAACAGCGACAGACAACAATCAGCCAGCATAAATGGGAGGAATCTGAAAGAAACAACCTCCTTTACCTACCGGGAAGCATCATTTCAACTACAGGCGGAACTCACGGAGATATCAAAGCAAGAATCGGAAAAGCAAGACAAGCTTTCATTACTCTCAAGTCTGTGTGGAGGTTTACAGCACTCGGCGTGAAGAATAAGATCCGGATTTTCAACTCCAATGTGAAGTCAGTGCTACTATACGGATCAGAGACTTGCATTGCACGTCATAAAGAGCATCTCACACAAACTTCGGACCTTCATCAACAGTTGTCTTCGCTCAATACTCAAGATCAGATGGCCGGCCAGAAAAGATCAGCAACAGAGATCTCTGGCAATGAACGAACCAACCAGGAACCGATTGTTCAAGAAATATGTAGGAATACATGGAAATGGATTGGCCATACTCTGAGGAAACCATCAAGTGACATCACTAGACAAGCCATTGCTCGAGTGGAACCCGGAAGGGAAGCGGCGAGTTGGTCGTCCAAGGGTGACTTGGAGGAGGTCATGTGAAGAGGAGATGAAAGCGTGTGGACACACTTGGAGCGAGGTGAAAACGTTGGCTGAGAACTGAACGTAATGGAGACGTGCGGCTGAAGCCCTATGTTCCTCTAGGAATTAAAGGAAAAAAGTAATAATAATAAATACATATCTGCTTCCAATATATGGGACAGCAGAACTGAACGTCCAGTACAGTTTACAGCAGTGTTATGTTACTTATTTTAGTAATCATTTTAGACACACCGTATGCATAACCCATGGATTAGCGCTAAGAATTAGACACCTCCACTACTGACTGGCTGCTTATTCGTGTAATGATCATATAACATTTAAACGGGAGTTGAACAATGAAAATCAACATCGACAACACTAAAAGAGATGGCTTTGACATTTCTATCTGTGCTGAGGGACATGAAGAGGTTGCCATAGAGAGTTTAAGTAAACAAACTGAAGAAATGTGTAGTTGTCATTCATTGCCAGTGAAGATGAGCAGTGAATGTCTCGAATAACTTTCTGGAAATCAGTGTAACCAGCCTTTAGGACATTTATTAGTCTGTTTAATAAGAATTAGATAAAATGAATGAATGAATGGTATTACAGACTGAATGGACACTTAGGATAGCAATGTGATGATGATGATGGATAGGGATGAAATGGGAATGATGATGAAGGTTATTTCTTCTATTTTCATCAGTCTCACCTGATCACCCGAGTTATTTGATGACATGACAAGCTCTACGGATGGAATGAGATTGGTAGTTGGAATTCAGCAATATAACGTTGATTATTGTCGTAGAACACTAATCCTAGCATCTATCTGATTAGATATCAAATTATGTGTTATCGAAGAAATTCTCTTGGATCTAGTCAAGTTTTGAAATTGTATATGCTGAACAATGGAAGAGTACTATATTTTGTCTGATGTTTATAAAATGAGAATTTCTTCGATATAGAAAGTACACAACGAAGTTTCATTAGATGACGGAAGAAATAATAAGGTGGCCTATTGAATGTGAATGTTGATGATGTAAGGCCTATGAGGAAGCAACATTGTTTTCCAAATGGGTTTTCTTTAGGATAGATAGACAGACAGATATACTAATATGTATATATTTACATGAGATTTCAAGTAGTCACTATGATATGTGGGTAATACAAACATCATTATAATCCGAACGTCTTGAGTAATAAGTTGTGAGAGCCAGTATAATTCTTCTCTTTCCAAACTGGCATCCTACCCGTTACTATTACTCACAGAAATCTCGGTTACTGCATGACTCAATGGAGGCGCTTCAGATTGTCACTTGAGTTTCTACCAGTTAGCTTACGAAACGTAATTGCCATACTTGCTTTACTGTTACTTCAACTGTCTTGAATTTAGCGTACGTGAAGTGTGAATGACAACCACTGAAGTCAGCTTGTCGCCACATATCTCTGGTCAACTATTTAATATTATATGCTGCAGTCAGTACATGGATAGCGAATTATTGTGAAGACTTCTAGATCGAGTTCTCTTTAACTCCATTATGGATAAGATTTTATTTTGTTAAATCACACACTTTAGACATTTAGAAAACAGAAAGACTAATTACGTGTTATCCTTGTAGAATTAATTTATTCTAACCATTTCTACCTTTTAAATATGTATTGGTTTTCTTCGTTAATTATCAACCCATTGATACTGTTTAATTATGGCTGACAAACTTATCGCCACTTGATTGGCAAACTGTTGTATATTGTAATAAAAATGCTATATGTATTATAGTAGAGACAGAGATGAGGATCTAATTGAAAAGTAAATATTTCTTCGCTCAATCTTTCTGTTTTCTAAATCACACAGTGTTGTACAGTAATATTAACGAGTTCTCTCGTAAAGTTTGTCTTTTCTTAGAAACAATTACAAAAAGACATTTTTTAATATCAACAGGAAAGGCATTTGCTCACATATTTTTCATAGTAACAGCATGTACTACTAACTGCTGGTAAGTAAGAGAAAGAGTAACGACGAAAAACGGTCTTCGCTAATCAACACACCCAAGTTAGTCAACTTGGTGCAAATACTAAGCCTAATTGACAATCTTACCTAATCTCAGGTTTACGACCACAGGAGAAATTTATTTTTCAGTATTCTAAATAGTCACTTGATGAAACGGGGATCAACATGTGTAAGGGACTAACAACTGGAAGTGGTGAAAATGTAAGCACACAAATTCATGTTGGTTCACTCTCCGGTGGAGTTGTAAGTGCATTCTGATGAAGACTCCCAGACTAGGAGAAGTCAACTGTCCGGAACTCCTTAGTTTTCAATGCTTCATTAGTCGACGTCAACCCGTGATGAGACTGGGAGTGAAACTTACATTGAATAATTTGCAGTGTATAAAATTAATCAATACTGCTTGTATTCTTCTATTTAAACATCTCTCTGGTTTCCCATTTTTATTACTCATGCTTCGAGACGGTAAGTACACTTTCTTGACTACTACCAGTAACCCAGATACTTTTATTGGATACTCGCCTGGTGGTCACATTGTGGGCTTGATTGACAAAAGCCAGTGTGCAGTCAAACAAAGGAGTAGATGCATAACACGAGTTGTTGTCCAATCAAATTGTCTAATACAGTCCTACAAGAGGTGAATCGCGAGGCCGAATAACTCAGTGGTAACATCTGTGAATGGACCAATGGGTGACACTGTTTCAAATCTCAGAGTGGTTTTGAGTTTCTTGAAGATTGCACACACACCTTGCTGAGTACTGCCAAGAAGCATGAAACGTAGGTCGAAGGCTTACTGAAGATTGTCTCCAACTTTAGGTCTTTCCTATGTTTATATGTACGCTCTAAAGAGAAAACCAATGATTCATCTGTTGTTATGGTAAAGTATAGAGCAGTTATACAGTGATGACAGTTATCCTTATGGAGAAACTTGTAAACGAATGTCTTCTAAGACTCATGGCCATTAGTGATAAATTCTACATTGAAATAACCTTATGACTGATGAAATTGTTGTTACGCACATTTCATTTCATCAGTTTTACAACAACAAAAGCAGGTGTCACTTTGAAGTTAACAAAAAAAATATCAGTTATTTTGGATGAAATATTCCTATTCGAACATTAATTGACGGAAGACTACTAGTTCAGCGAAGAGTCTCTTGTCGGCGAATTCATTTTCATAATTGCACAATCGTAAATATATGTTTGTTCTGTATGTGTGTGTACATAAAATTTGTCAAAGGAAAAAACAGTTAGTAAGTTCAGATGAATTGGATGTTGATATAAGAGGGTGGTAACAAAAGTGATGAGTTGTCACAAACGGTTGTTAAAGAAGAGTTACGTAATAACGTGAATTGTTTCATGAAAGAGTTGTGCTCAGGGTGCCCATGGAAACAAAATAACATACGGAATTACGCAAGGGTTTTAAGTAGTTACAAAAATAAACATACAAGCAAAAGTTAAGTCAAATCAACAAAGTTGTTACCATGAGAGTAAAAGTGGTTGAATAATTTTCTTTTGTATGCATAGTTCTGGTTCTTCCAACTGAATGATATCTTTAACAAAATCAACGAATTGGTAGGTGTCACGATGCGAATAGTGGCACATCTGTTCTCGTACAGGTTCTAAAATGTCAGCTAGCCATTTCGCTGTTGAATGGTACGGGGAATGGATATGTCAGGTTCCCCGTACCAGATGTGCCACTATTCGCATCGTGACATCTACCAATTCGTTGATTTTGTTAAAGATATCATTCAGTTGGAAGAACCAGAACTATGCATACAAAAGAAAATTATCCAACCACTTTTACTCTCATGGTAACGACTCCGCTGATTTTACTTACCTTTTGTTCGTTTGTTTGATTTGAATTAACTTTTGTTTGTATGTTTATTTTTCGTTCGACTACTAAGACCCTCGGTTACCCTGCCTCAGCCCTTCTTGGAGGGCCGCTCCAAGTAGTGAACTCCTCAATACTTACACATCGCCTAGATCCATATGATTTGAAGTGATTCAGGGTAGCGCGCTGGGGTCATTGCTTATCCTGATTTACATTAACAATGCCCACAATGTTGCACACCGTATTCCCTTGATGACGACTTAAAGATTGCTGATGTCTCTCCTAATTCGACTTTGAAAGAAGCATTCACGACATATTCAAGACGAATGGAATGGGCTATGTAATTAGAATTATGTCTCGTCGTAACTGCTGCTATTATTCGGTGCTAATAAGTGTGGAATCCTATGCTTTAATAACTCTACTCCCACTATGACATGACGATCTGACAGACTCACACCACAGCATTTATTCATCATTTCGACAATTAAGCAAGTGTGCAAACAACGCATTCACCACATAATATATAAAGGATAAGAAGCCATTCCCTAAAAAATATGATTTATTGATACATTTCAAACTAACCATTGATGACAATAAATATATACAAAAGTTACATTCTATCAAATCTTACAATGACACCATTATCACATACACATAAGAGAATTTCACCGTCATTTGCAAAACGTATTTGTCTGATTGCCACGTGGTTCGACGATGAACCACCTCGACCAACTCTGCTAATTGGAGGGAGATGAAGCACTTTAGGTGGCAGATTGAATGCTTTCTCAGGATGCTTTAGATCCCACAAATACACGCGTGACGGACCACTACTTGTGCCCAAAGCAAGTATCTGATTTTTCAGATCCAAATCGAAACGAATAAACCATAGATTACAATTCTCTGCTTTCAAACAGTGAATGACGCTCGCTTTGGGCTCTGTCAGTACACCGGGTGCATGCGATAGCTCTTCTGAATGAGGGTCAATTGCAGATAGCCGAGTCGGAAGCCGCAAACCATCTACCACGTGAATCCCACCATCGGCTAAATATGAACCACTCTCACTACATACTACAGGCGAACTACCTGATGAATTATCTAGTTCACCGGGTTTCCAGACCATAACACAATTTTCACACGACTTAGAGATAACCAAGCTACCAAACCAACGCGCGCAGTCCACGTAATCACCGTGCACATCACGGGAACTAAATTCCGGGAATTGTTGTACCAGTACAGGAAACGGCCTATGAAGGAACAATTACAAAATATCAAGTTACCAAACTGCACAGTAGTCAAGCACAAACTGTTGTCAATCGGAAAGAAACAGTAAATATACTTCGTCACATTGTTGAATTATTTCCAACAACTCAACAAGACTTAAAATATCTGTCTATAATGCTTCAGCCAACCATCATCACAGTCATCATCAGATCTACAACAGCGACAATTCCATATTCACTAAAACACAATGTAGTTTATTAAACTCGAAGTGCTGGTTACAATAGATCTGCAATAAATCTGCAAACTTCATGACGTTATCAAGCAACAATTCCACTGGGGAATATAGCCCAAATAATGTATGTGTCAATAACATTCACTTACCTATATTTGTGGAATCACAAAATATACTAATAGAATATCCTGAGCGATAATACTGTCTGACATTTAACAGATGCATCTCACGTTATTATTTCTTCCCATAGGATAAAATAACTTTAAAGTTTAGTAAGCGTAGACTTTAACAATGTGTCATATCATTTTATGCACAACTATGCAGGATACCACTTTCATTGTGCATTGACATCTTCAGAATGATAAGGTATACGGCATCAACGAGATCAGTCGGCGTTCACCAACGCAGTAATCCTACTTATTTGGACACAACACCTACAACAGTCACTAGCTGGTCTGTCTGTCTGCTTTCGACATAAAACTTTGCACATTTGTGCGGCAGTTTAAGTCGCCATACTCCACGTAGAAAGCAGTAGAAAGTATAAGAAATGCCTATTAGAGACAGTAAACACAGGTGTGAGACAAAGGAATAGTAATAGCGAAGAACAATTTAGTTTCAGTGGAAATCATAAGTCACAAGAAGTGGATGCATCTGCGCCATTGAGAACGATTTTGGGCCATGTCACCATTAGTTTCCAACCATTGGTTTTTACCGTCCCGAGGACCTCAACCAGGGAAGCCAGTCTACACCTCCCTACGTGGCCTAGACTAAATGTTGTAGATTTCATTGACTGGTGCCATGTTTTGGTTTGACCACCACAGGCTCTTTTTCGACCTGACCCTATGTCAGCTAACATTGCCCATCGGTCGAGGAAGGCGATGACTAGGCATACGTAACACGTGTCCTAACCATCTCAGTCAATGTAATTTCACACCCTCGTAGATTGATTTCCCCTCCTTACCTCGCACTCGACGCCTAACCTCAATATTGCTCACCTTATTATACCACTTCACACGGGAGATAGAGCGCAGGCACCTATGATCAAAGACAGCTAATCTTTTCATGAATTCCACTCTCAATGGCCAGGTCTCGCAGCCATAAAGGAGGACGGAGAGGACTGATGAGCAGTACACCCACTCTTTGGTCGATAGTCGGATATCACGTCTACGCCAGAGACGGCGTAAGCTGGCATATACGAAACTGGCCCTCTGTATCCTAGTCTTAAAGCGACTATCGACTATTTATTCCAGTGTGTATACATGTATACACCTCGTAGGAAAATAATGATTGTACACAGTTAACAAATGTAATCAGGCGACTAAATGAATCCATCCTCACTGAATAGCTCTACAAATAAAGATGAAATAAGTAGCTTCCCTTAGTTTATCTCAGGCGTGATTCATATCACTTGGGGAAATATTTTTAAAGTCATACAGTTCACTGGAAACGTCTTCCTTCCTTTACTCCGTGTACTTAGTTTGCATTAACTGACTTCTCACTCTTCTCCACTGCGTGTTTACATGATACTGATTTGTCATGTTAAGAATAACCATCTTACTAGAGAAAACTAAAACTTCAGATGCTCGTTCGAACCAAGCTAAGAAGTATACTGTCAAAGGTTCGAGGGTGTGTATGTGAAACCGAAATTGTATCTCACAGAAAAGTCTGTCATGTACAATTAGTATATTCCGATGGCCACAGCTACCACAAAGTGTAGAAGACGTCGTTTCAAAATGAAAGAACACATTACACTTTGTCGAACTAACTACTTCAGAGAAAGTTATCACTCCCAATTACGGTAAATACATCACCAACTAACCTTGTATTTGTATGAAGACGGTAGTCAAAAGATTCGCTGATGCTATTCGCCAGCTCAGGAGTGTTAAGTCGCCATATCTTTATATAATGATCCATCCCTGCAGACAACAGGAGGTTGCCAGATAGGGATACATCACCATGCAGCACTTCAGCCCGATGGCCCTCTGACCCTCCAAATACACATATTAACACATTGGTGGCAACATTCCACAGACGAATAGTGTAATCTACACAAAACAAACGAAAGAAATCTATAACACCAATACTAGTAATAATAATGACAACGACAATAGTAGTAATGACTTATTGTGAATCCATCAAAAGAAGGAGAGTTTAAAAGAAACTGACAACACATCTACATTTGTTATACTGTACGAAGAAAGCCTGTGAAAGTCGAAACGATACTGAAACTTGTGCGTACAAATAGGTTCTTCCAGATGTACTATGATAATAAAAGACAAAGAGGGAGAGGGACGATGTAAGAACTGGCATAGATGCATGAAAGAGCGAGTTGTTGTATGCCATCTTATCAGAAGTGGGAGAAATGAAATTAGTAGGATTACAAAGAAAACACAAAATAATACCAGCAGTTGTCACAACAACCAAGAATAGAAAGAAATAGTTACAAGAACTCGCATCACTACACCTTCAGGATTTACAGAAGAACGGGACAGTGATGTGCACAAACTATTGTGGTCGATTTTGCTTCGTTTCTTTTAAATTACAAAACGATGACACAGACCGTCTCATAGACACCCCTTACACTCATTAACGTGTAAGAGCTTTGACGAACAATCAATTCGAATAAGGATTGTGTGCACATCTCATCCAGCGAATGTTTTGAGGAGTGTTTTATTTATGTCCACAAATTTATCAACTTCAGCAGTGCAGGGAAACTAAAAGGTCTCAAACATGTTCACTTCACTGAAAAGTTTCTCTCGATATCTCGTGTTGCCAGTTTACAACCTTTTGCACCTAGATCAACCGCTCTTATTTTAGAAAACTGTTCACATCAGTGGTTCAATGTGAATTCCTTGCTCCATCCCAGTCCAGACACGCACACACATACTCAGAATAACCCTCGTAGATAAGAGAATAAACTTGACAACCAGTTTTGTCAACTTCGAATTCTGTCTTAGGTTTCCCGACACGAACACTATTCACGAAGCATGCGAATGCATAAGCAAGTCGCATGCACAGAAATAGACACACCATAGTATTCAGTGTGCCTAAATCTTTCCCAGTAGTCCACAAAGTGACTTCAGACACTGACTAATATTTATGATCGTCGGAAGATGTGACATGTTGGACTGGGGATAATCTATAACAGTATGTAGAAAAGGTAGTGCTTCAATTGAGAAGTCTAGGATGAATGTCTTTTTCAGCTATACATCAGACTTTTCCGGCTCATGTGTCAACTCGCCACTAATCTGTTGTCAGAGAATCAGTGGTGCAACTTTTAAAATCAATCATCACGTGCTGTCTGCTTATGAATATGTTTCTACCCTCGAAACTACCCAGTCCCGTTGGCAAAAGGGGAAGTATGTGTGAAGCAGACTGTCCAGAGCTATAAGGATGTTCCCTATGCTTACATGAACAAAAGCTGAAATCTAATAAACTTCTCATTTTATATAGACTTTTAGAAGATGGTCTCTCAGTCAGCTAGAATTCCCTCTTATGAGTAAAACATCGTGAAATGGAACACTGAGTCTGATTCTGCTTTTGCAGTGAAGCTGGTGACTATGTGGGCATTACTGAAGGCTTTGAGCAGGTTCTCGAGATTTCGATTCGCAACACCAATACTGAAAGTATCGTCAATGCACCTCTCATAGACATGCCGGACGTATCTGTAGTCCAATGACAGGACATCTCGCGAACTCACGATATTCAGCTCAATTCGAAAAATCCTCCGAAGTCTCATGCAACATTCAATCAAACATAGGAAGACATCTGGACTGGGCACAGTTGAAGTATTAGCGATACAAATATTCAAACAAAATCTGTTTAACCGAAAGAAGTACATTTAACTTTGTCTTTCGTATGGCTATCATAACCAGTGCATTTCTCCAACAAAACTGTTTCTACCAACTGTTCACTATCCGAACTTTCTGTTTATCCCTTTGGTCTGGTCCCCATTTGCATCACGTAATTTCATGTTGGTATTCGCTATGTCTTGACCTCTAGTCGCTAATATTCCTGGATATTTCGCACCTCCACTACATATATTCACAAAGTCGTGACTCATTGGCCTAAATACTTGCCTTCCAGTCAATGAATCTTGGGTTCGAATTCCTTTCCTTATACTCCAACCTTACACAATGTGTGTGGTTCATAGCTCTCCTCCCACCCACCCTATCATCACCGTCAAGTGAGTTGCAAATAACTAAACTATTTGCGAATGTATCGTCTGGTTGGTGAATTCATCGGAAAAGAAATCTTGCATTGCTGTAACCACTTTTTGATTTTTCTAATGATCAAACGTCAGACGCTACGATAATCGCAAACGTTATCAATAAATAAAGAGTGGTAACTGAAGGTAAACAGTCTTAACGGAGGAGACAGTACAGCGTATCCTAACCCCATCCTCTCAGGAAAATCACAGTCCTTCATATTCTCCTCTGATTTAAGCTAAATCCATAGATGTCATGATCTATTAACGATCATGATTACCTTGTGTACCCATATCATCATAGATCAATTTGCAGCATTGTACTCGATTAGTCTCCCCCCAAGACTGAGACATACTGCACACCTTCCATACATCGTGAAAGCATGAAGCAGATGAGAATATAGCAAACTACTGCAGAATACATCCAGCACAGCCACAATGACCTGATAAGCTTTTGTAGTCAGTACACATTGTCTGTCTGTTTTCGACATAGAATTTTGCACAAATGTGCGGAAGTTCAAGTCGCCACACTCCGTGTAGCACGCGAAGCAAGAGAAGAAAGTACAAGAAAAGCATAATAGAGACAGTGAGCAGAGGTGTGAGACAAAGGAGGAGTAATAACGAAGAACAAAACAGTTTCATTGGAGATCATAAGTCACAAGGAGTGGATGCATCTGCGCCACTGAGAACGATTTTGAGCCATGTCACCAATTGTTTCCAACCATAGATTTTTACCGTCCCGAGGACCCCAGCCTGGAAGTCTACACCTTCCTACGTGGCTTAGACCAACTGTTGTGGATTTCATTGACTGGTGCCAAGTTTTTGTTTGACCGCCGCTAGCTTTTTTCCAGCCTGACCCTATATCCGCTAACATTGCTCGTCGAGGGAGGCGATGGCTTGGCATACGTAACACATGTCCTAACCATCTCAGTCTTTGTAACTTCACGACTTCGTCGATTGATTTCCCCTGTTTACCTAGAACTCGACGCCTAACCTCAATGTTGCTCACCTTATTATGCCACTTTACACGGGAAATAGAGCGCAGGCACCTATGATCAAAGACAGCTAGTCTTTTCATGTCTTCCACTCTCAGTGGCCAGGTCTCACAGTCAGCCATAAAGGAGGACGGAGCGGACTGATGAGCAGTACACCCGCCCTTTGGTCGATAGTCGAACATCTCGTCTACGCCAGAGTCGGCGTAAACTGGCAAATGCGAAACGAGCCCCCTGTATTCGTGCTGAGATTTCGTCAGAGATCAGCCCGTTGGGGCTGATGGTACTTCCCAAATAAGTGAAGCGGTCAACGTGCTCTACCACTTCACTTCCTATTTTTAAACTAGGCGTCGATGTAGTCCAGTCCTGTAACATCATCTTGCATTTGGCGGGAGCGAATCGCATGCCAAACATTCGTAGATTGCGGCTCAAGGTGTTTAGAAGACTCTGCATTTCGTCAGCGTCTTCGCCTAGAAGGACTATATCGTCTGCATATTCCAAGTCAACGAGATTATTCCCTGGTAGCAAGTCAATCCCTGAGTCGCTGAAGTCACTTAGGGTTAAGTCCATTAACACATCTATGATGAAGTTGAATAGAAAAGGAGATAATGGGCATCCTTGACGGACACCACTGGTCGTCATCAGTTCAGATGACAGCTCGCCGTAAGCCCTCACCTGGCTGTATGAGTACGAGTAGAGTGCCTTAATCAGTGCAATATATTTTCTCGGAATTCCCTTTACAGCCAAGCATCTCCAGAGAACTTCTCGATCGACAGAGTCGAATGCTGCCTTTAGGTCAAGAAATATAATGACTGTTGGACGCCGGTAGGAATGCCTATGTTCTAGAATCTGTCGGAGGGTGAAGATATGATCAATACACCCTCTTCCTGGTCTAAAGCCTGCCTGGCTCTCTCGTGTTTGTGCCTCCCGAGCACCACTCAGTCTACGCATGATTATTGAGCCTAAGACTTTAGATACTATATTAGTCAAGCTAATCCCTCTGTGATTATCACAGGAAGACTTGTCTCCCTTCTTGTATATGGGGATAATCAGTGACTTACACCAACCCGATGGGACTTCTTCTGATTCCCAGACGCTGCCTAGTACCTCAGTTAATCCGGACAGTAAGCTGTCTCCACCGTACTTAAATACCTCTGGAGTCATTCCATCAGGTCCCGCTGCTTTGCCTAGTTTCAGATTGGTGACAGCTTTAGTAACCTCAGTTAGGGATGGAGGACCTGTGTCTATATCCCATTCAGGGAGGTGTTGGATGCTCGGAAGGTTGAGCGTGGCTGTGGGCCAATTAAACTGCTCCTCATAATGCTCTTTCCAACGATCCAGTCGTCTATCCTGGGAGCTAATTATAGTGCCATTTTTTTCCGAGATTGTTTCACTGATGATTTGTCTTCTCCCACCCGTTTCCCTGATGAGTCTAAAGAGTTGCCTGGTGTTGCCTATCCTCGAAGCTTTCTCCATCTCTTTGGCTTTTGTCACCCACCACTGTTCACGGTCCTTGCGGAGACTTTTCGTAAGTTTCCTCTTGTGCAGCTTTCGCTCCTCATTGAATTCGGAGCTCGCCGGAATAAGTCTTCTAGCATCCATCAGTTCGCCTGTATTTATCAGTATCACATTAAACTCCTACCAGTCGTTTATGGACTAGAACAACAAGCTCTCATGAAGGAAGTGTTCGTAGTGGACAATCAGCGTCTCACCTGTCTACCACTAGCCATCAAATGGATTTGTACTGTCATCAGTTTGGTTAAGTAGAATAGAAATGACAACAATATACATAGTATAAATTCAGAGTGATACGAAATAGTGGAGACAAATTACACTTAAATTCACGAGAGCAACACGGCAATCAATGACAAGCTCTCTCATTATATATCCATCCATTTTTCGCCATTCAACAAGTGTAAGGGCTCATACTTATGTATCACTACTGCTAAACAATATGTAGTATCTCAATTTACATTATTAGCGATTTGTTCACTGCTACCGATAAAAGACAAGTACAACTTGGAAAATAAACCACTCAGTGATTACGAAACCAAATTCAAGTAAAATAAAACAAAACTTCGCTAACCTTTACTGAAGGAAAACAATAGGGAGAGATCTTTTGGATGAAATTTCAGTTCGTTGATAGAGCCTCCATGGCCAACGAGACTACCAAGACAACTTAGCATGCTAGGGCAAAGAATCCGGATAACACCACGTTTCCCTGCCACAGCGACAATCTGCTGGTGCGGAGGGATAACTGACCCACTGTAAAAATCATTTAAACCTTGATGAGGATGAGGAGTCGGGCGAGGTCGACGACTCTCACTGCAACCTCCCCACGAGTTAAACACAGACCTCTCACTTGCGTCATGTGACCAAGCACAACAATAAAACTCTTCCTCATCACCAGCTGGATCAGCGAAAGTCAGCAATGTACTGACAGGCTCCAGTCTCGAAGAATCCTCACTTGAAGCATCTGCAACGTCGTCTTTCAAGTGACACTGGTACACTGTAACCTATAAAATCAACAAATGGAAAATTACTGGAGTAAGTGGTAGCGAAAACAAACAAAATCATAGATTTGAAAGGCGCCTATGGGTAAATAGGACTTACATAGTGACCAGAAACTGTAGCGAAATAAAGTGGATCAGATGGTTGACTCCGATTGACCGAATTAAAGGCAACACCGTAAATAGGTCGACCATACTCTTCACGAATACTACACGTTGGTTTATAGGGACAATTTGGTTCAGGAGCATTTTCTACCACATTTGGGAGTCTTTCAAGTAGAATCGCTGGTGATAGGATTTCTTTGAAGAACTCACTCGACGTTTTCTGAGTCATACTCAATAACGTATGATGACGATGAGTGTTGCTAGCCGTATACCTTTCTCTTTTAGGTGGTGACGGGACACTGTTAGACTGAGTCATACTGCCAGGCTGCTCAACGCTACTCGTGTGTATCCTTGTATCTAAAATGGTAGAAATAGATAGGCATTAACAACTACCAGCATAATTTGAAGATCACCATTACAACCAACTACTACCCAGTCGGTGAATGTGATTTTGGACCTGGGATATGTGGGTAAAAACGTGGCCAGTTTTCCGTTCGAAATTGGGCAAAGTGGGAAAATGTCGGCTGTTTTCGGTTGTAAAATGGATAAAGTGGGTTAATTATGTAGCATTTAAACCACCTTTCGCCCACGTCTTTGCCAATCCAAATTACACGTTTAGCCCACATTGCCCATATGCATTCTCTTTGGGAAGTTGCATTAGTCCCAACATGTTGATCGCTAACGAAATCCCAGCACGGACACAGAAGGCTCGTTTCGCGTATGCCAGTTTATGTCGTTTCTGGTGTAGACATGATATCCGGCTATCAACCAAAGAACGTGTGTACTGCTCAGCAGTTGGCTCCGTCCCCATTTTCGGCTGAGACCTAGTCACTGAGAATGGAGAAAATGAGAGAACTAGCTGTCTTTGATCATAGGTGCCTGCGTTCTATCTCCCGTGTGAAGTGGTATAGTAGGGTAAGCAATACTGAGGTTAGGCTACGAGTGCCGGGTAAGGAGGGAAAATCAATCGACGAGGTTGTGAAGCAAGTGCACCGACTGAAATGGTTAGGACATGTTTAGCCATTGCGTCAGTGGCACAGTGGTTAGGACTCTCGCCGACCATGCACATGGTCCCAGGTTCGATCCCCTGCCGACGCACACCTGATATCTATGGTTGGCCTGCAAAAAAGAAATTTGGGCTACCGATATCCATGCTGAAAATTCTATACTTGCACCAAAAATACAGTATGGAATCAAGCTGTAATCAAAAATAAAATAAAAAAATTCCTCAACAATGGGCGGTATTAGCTGACATAGGGTCAGGTCGGAAAAGAGCTAGCAGTAGTCAAACCAAAACACGGCACCAGTCAATGAAATCTACAACATTTAGTCTAGGCCACGTAGGGAGGTGTAGACTGGCTTCCCTGGTTGAGGTCCTCGGGACGGTAAAAACCAATGGTTGGAAACTAATGGTGACATGGCCCAAAATCGTTCTCAATGGCGCAGATGCATCCACTTCTTGTGACTTATAATACCCAATGAAACTAAATTGCTCTTCGTTATCACTATTCATTTAGTCTCATACCGCTGTTTACTGTCTCTATTTTACATTTCTTCTACTTTCTTCTTTTGCTTAGTGTACCACATGAAGTGTGGCGACTTGAACTGCTACACACCGGTGTCAAGTTCGATGTTGAAAAACCAGACAGACAGACGTGCATTCTCTGACTGAATAGGATAAAGATGGAAGAATGCATAGCCCAGATGTATGTGAGACGAGTGGATGGTTGCGTGTTAAATAAACGCCGAATATATAGTGACCGAAATGGATGAACATATTCCACCTACAAAATGCAGTCCTTACAATGGTGTCTTAACGAATGGCTGGCCGACGCGAAAATCAACCCGATAACTTCACACACCAGCCACTCCCCCTTCTTCTAAACAACGACTGTGCGGTATTCTTTACCGGGCCGAGAATGTAGGTTGGCCTTCAACAATGAATATGAGGGTGACCCTAAATTATAGCTGTACAAAACGAATTCGTAGTCTAAATTACAGTCATAATGGACGGTGTGATGATTTTGAACGACCAGTCAGATGACTTCGCAGTACATGGACACAACAGTGGTTGCTGTACACGATTTATGTACCAAATTTCATCCAAATCCGGTAATTATAAATACTATAGACTGAGTATACTAAGGCTACAGTCTCATTGGAAGGGAAAAGACGTGTAGCCAACTGTCATCCGTGGACTATACTTATAGATTGGCTAAAAACAGACGATTTCGATATGATAGAGAAGATTTGTAGCTCAGGTGGATAATTTTGATGTGGTTTTGTTAATCCCTTCGATGAGACCCTCACAAAATTACATCGAAAATTTCTACAGCCACCTAAATAATAAGGTCAGTGCGGTAAATCAGTCAAGAAGCACGACGATATATAGTTATCTCGACGAATTAACGCACTGATATTGGTTTAACCTGACCATGGGGACTCCTGTGAGAAACTGGGTGGAAGTTATTCTGTGCAACTCCTATTAATGCTGCTCTACTTACAGAGGGTGAGGACATACTTACGTCTTTTTCAAATTACGCACATCCCCTTCGGACGCGTCCGATTGGTTTAACGCGAATAGTCAAGGTCTTTATCAGGCAGTTCCAATGTCCAATATCGTTTTTACGAGGTAGTATAAACCAATTTGATTTCTTTGTGCTCGCCTCTTGATTGTGAAGTATAGTTTCTTGATCTTCGGCAAACTTCTGAGTAGCTCGTCCCACCACTCGACTGTCGTAGCTATGGTTGACTCCAAAGGGATTAGTGCTGGGATTAATTATATGTGGTTTGTAGTATGAGGTGTGTTAAGACTGTTAATACTGTGAATGGAGTTGATCCTTCCACCACCTAGTCCTCCGGTATCGTCGTCAAAAGAAAAGAGATAATAATAATAGGTATAACTAGTGAAGTTATTCAGACTAACAGACAGAAAAAGAAATAAGAAAATGTAACAGCAGTCACCTAATTAAATTTGAAAAATAATATCAATAATATACATATATCGGTAATAATGATGATAATAATAATAGGTGTAGTTAAAGTTGCCAGGAGAGTAAGACGGGAGAGAATGTAAAGAAGTAAAACGACAAGTTTAATTGTCTACGCCTTAATGGTGTATGCAATTCTAAGGAGATAGGCCATTTGGATGTAGTTCTTATGTCTCTGCATGGTTGTCCAGCCCTCGCTTAAAGGCGTCCCCAGACGGTGCCACAGCTACATCTGCCGGTAAGGAATTCCAGGGACTGCAAACCTGCGGTGAAAAGAAGTGGGAGCGCACCCGGGTCCTTGCCCTCTGGTGAGCTATCCTTCTGGGATTTCCACGTGGGAGCCTATACCTAATCAGTGGCAGAAAACCCTTGTTTGGGTGATTCTGGTCACTTGTTATTTTGTAAGCAGTATTTTCGTTTTGTGCTGTTATGGTTCGGAGTCACCCATGTGACTATAGTAGGCACCAGAAAAACTGTCTTTTTCAAGCCGTCACAGCCACTTGTGACAAAGGCGCGGATGTAGTGTTTTGGATAAACAGTGTATATTGCTCTTTCCGCCACACCAAAATAAACCTGAAGTTAGGTATTGACTAAATAAACATCTGGGCAGCCGATGTGTGCCTTGCATGTTTTCAGATGTTGTGGCGAAGGTCAAAAGTAGCATCCCAAGAGTGCGAGCGCTCCAATGACCTTGAACGCATGTCAGTTGTTGGCTAACGGCACTTGTCATTATCATGGCTGGAATATCGACGCTTTGCACCATACAAGCAGCGAATTTCACCCGGAAGACGTTCATAAGTACTGTTTGGAAAATGTGTTAATATCTAGTTAGGGTTAAGATTAGGGTTAAGGCAAGTATTGGGGCCAACTTCACCTAGACTACTAGCTTGCTAGTTCCCACCCACCACCAAAACGTAACCAAATCGCTACAGAAACTTCAATCCACCAATATATTAAAAATTATAAATATATAAACAGTAACCTTATTTTTCGCTGGAATCGGGGAAGTGAAATGACGCAGGGTGGTGAAAGCCTTTGGGATCCCAGTCAGCCGATGTGCCTTCTTTCGATGAAAACAAAAATAAGGATGCGGACGTGGAATGTTCATACAATGTACAAAATTGGAGAGGCTGCCCAGGTAGCAGCAGAAATGAGAAGATATATAATAGAAGTGTTGGGAATCTGCGAGAGCAGATGGAACGGATGTGGTAGGTGCCAAATACAAACTGAGGAGACAATAATCTATTCCAGCCACCCAGAGGACAATCACGAGCATAACGAGGGAGTGGCCATCATGATGTCACCGACAGCAGCCAAAGCTCTCATGCAGTGGGAAACAATCTCCTCCAGGATAATGACAGCCAGGTTCAACTCAAAAGGAAGGAAGCTTCTAGTCATTCAATGCTATGTGCCTACAAACGTCTCAGAACAAGAGAAGAAGGAGGTGTTGTACAGACAACTACAAACAGTAGTGGACAACGTCCCAAATGGCGATATCAAAATCCTGATGGGTGATATTAATGCGAAGCTCGGAGGAGACAACACAGGAAGAGAACTCACCATGGGTTGTGAGGCCCTCGGCAAAATGAACGACAATGGTGAACTCTTCTCAGACTTCTGCGCCTTCAATGATTTAGGGATTGGTGGCAGCGTTTTCAAACACAAGGATATACACAAGGCGACACGGATTTCACCAGATGGAAACACCAAGAACCAAATAGACTTCATCTCAATTTCAAGAAAGTGGAGACGGAGCCTACTGGACACAAGGTCAAGGAGAGGAGCAGATGTGGGTTCAGACCACTATCTAGTAGAAGAGACTTTCAAGGTGAAACTAAAAGCCTTGAGGATAGCTGGGGATTGGCCACAATGCAAGTTCAACACTCGATTACTGAAGGACACAACCACAAAAGACACTTTCACTGCAACTGTCAGAGCGAAGCAGGAAACACTACGCGACACCACTGAAGAATCGTGCGTGGAAGACCACTGTAACGTATTCAACGGTTCTAGAAAGAAAGAAGAAGCAAGACAAGGAATGGCTGTCAGCGGACACTAGGAAATTAATAGAAGAGAGGAGAATGGCGAAAGAGAAAATGATTCAGTGCAAGGACGGACAGGAGAAGGAAACGCTGAGCTCAACTTACAAAGCACTGGACAAAGAAGTGAAGAGGAGTGCTAGGAAGGACAAAAGACGATTCTACGACAACCTGGTCACTGAAGCTGAAAAGGCAGCAGGCAAAAGGGACCTGAGGACACTATATCAGATAACCAAATCTCTATCCGGGAAGAGATTGACACAAATAAAACCTATAAAAGACAGCCAAGGGAACCCAATTACCAAGGAAGAAAGACAGATTAAACAATGGGCGGATCACTTCAAAGGACTCTTGAACCGACCATCACCTCTAACCCGTCCAGAAATACCAACAACAGCGCGTACACAACTGCAAGTTGACATCAATCGTCCAACGAAATAATAATAATGTATATTCTCATATAAACATATAAATTTACATGGAAATGCATGTCATTTTTACAGGCACGATCAAGTATGATATAATATCAAATCGTAGATTGTCTACAAGTTAATAATGTTTCAACAGTTAAATATTCGATATGTATAAATACACTCATTGTCTGAACTAGGCTGTATAGTTATTGAATTGTACAGTTGTCCTCCAGGTTGAGCGGGAAAATCTACTTCGTTTCGTTTTCATCCCGTGGTTGTCGGCATACGATAACCAACCAATATTGAGGTAAGTACAACGTTTACAAGGGATCGAAAGCTGTTTTAGAAAAGTAAAAGTGCTAAGGTGAATCAATAAAGTGTAATGAAATGGGTAAGTGCAAGTATCACTAATAAATGCATTAATAAAGGAAACTCCCTAGGCTGACAACGTTCATTTGCAATGTATAATGCTTCCTGTACAGTTTGCACTATCATGATGTCCACTTTTGGTTTTAATACATTTTTTTATGCCGGTTTTCTTATATTTTATGCCTTTTTGTGCATTTAGTGCACAACCGTACCCTACAGAGAATAGGAATAGAATTAGTCGAATCAAATTCATAAAAAGCTATAAAATGTTAGGTTTAATGAAATGTAATGCGGATCAAGTGAGAAAGTTATTAGAAAACAAATGAGATGAGATATTGTGAAGTGGTATTCAAAGATCCGACAATGGATAGCAAGTTAATTTATAAGATGCCCCATAAATCTGTGCAGAGCCGACGTCGTCGCATCTCAACAATAGGCTGAGTGAATGGTATATATTTAAAGGCAGAAGCATGATCTGTCCAGGCGTTCATTATTATCTTTTTCAAGATAAAGATCTAAGCCCTCATAAAAATCAGAAATATCTCGAGCCTTCAAATTGTATATTGCTGTTCCTGCAGAATGGGGTGATTCACCTTAGTGACCCCCACCATATCTACTGAAGTCTTGAACGCAATCAAGCTTCTGAAAGCTGAAGAAACAGCTGGACCAGATGGAATACCCCCTGAAGCACTGAAAGCGGACCCAGAGACGACAGCAGATATGCTGACTGACTCCATTATTGCAAAAGGTCTGGACGGAGGGAAAGGTGCCTACTGAGTGGAGGAAAGGTTACCTCGTGAAACTACCAAGGAAGGGAGACTTACGCCTCACTCTGCAAGAACTGGCGAGGAATCATGATACTGTCTAGGCCAGGTAAAATTTTGAGTCGCATCATCCTGGAGAAAATAAAGGATGCACTGGAGAAAAAACTCCGACCAGAACAAACTGGATTCGGGGAAGGCTAATCACGTACTGACCCGATTGCAACTCTACGCATCATCATCATCACAGGACAAAGCATGGACTTTGAGAAGGCCTTCGACAGAGTTGATCCCGAAGTAATTTGGAAACTACTGGAGTACTACGGTGTACCCCGAATATTCATCAACCTTATTCAACAGCTGTACGACAACGGGACATGTCAAGTCATCCACAACGGAAAACTCAGCGAGGCGTTTGCAGTAAACACAGGAGTCAGACAAGGGTGCTGGCTTATTATCGCGAATGATATTCCTAGTTGTGGTGGATTGACTGGATTATGCGTCAGACAGTGGGAAACGAGAAGACAGGGATATCCTAGACCGACATGAAGAACCTAGAAGACCTGGATTTCGCGCGTGGATGATTTATGTTTGATGTCACACAAAATCGAAAACTTACAAGCGAAAACCAACCGACAAACTGGTCGAAGAAGCAGCCGGCGAAGACAGGACTCCAGGTGGACATAGACAAGACGGAGGTAATGAAAATAACCAAACAATAACAGCAGCACCAACATACAGCGCCAATCACCATCAACGGGAGGGATTTGAAAGAGATTACTTCATTCAATCATCTGGGCAGCATTGTCTCAACTACAGGAGGAACGGACAAGGATGTCAAATCGAGCGAGAATCGGGAAGGCGAGAAACATATTCACCAAACTGAAACTAATCTGGAAATCTTCGTCACTCAGCATCATCAACAAAATTCAGTCGGATTTTCAATACAAAAAACATCAAGTCAGTCACTTCTTCTATACGGATGAGAAACTTGACGGGCGGGTCACAAAGAATATATA